CCTACTAATACGATGCCAATCATTTTGGAATTTTCAGTGTTTATTAAGCACCTTCTTTATCTTTGAATGTTTGTCTTTTGCTTAACTTTGTTGAATAGCCAATTTTTCAAGAAGAGGATGTTGTCTCCTGGCATCTTCAAGTTGAGCTTATTTTTACTTCTCACCGCGCCTATATCACATTCTTCAAAATATCTATTCTCGTTCGATCACTACAATTAAGTTGAAGCCAAAGGGTGCGTATGTAACAACAGAAGACAAGAACCAGGCAACAGATCGTTTATTTAGGAAATCAACAGATTGATATCAGTTAGAGAACCATTGAAAACCAGGGAGTACTGGACAGCTGCTGTTTCATCGTAGTTTTGGGAATCATCGTCAGTACGCACCCATTGGTATTCGAACCCAGGACCTTCCGGTTACAAGGCAAGCTCGTATACCATTCAGCCACTGGGACCCGATTCAATGGCTCGTGAATTCTAACTTCTACTAATTCTCTAACTGATATCAATCCGTGATCAACCCGTAAAACATAACTAATCCTTACAAACCAAACTATAGAAAATCAACAGATATTAATAGATTTAGTGTACATTATTATAGATTATTGAAAGCAAACAAACACAGTCTTTTGATTGGTGGTTTCTCGCTGAACGTGAATCTTCCATCCCTTTTTGTGGCCGTTTCTTGGAGTTCAGATTATCTATCTGTAAAGTCTGCTGCGATTGGTTGTTGAATCAGTATTTGTTATTGTTTTTTTCTCATGACCAATATTTGGACATAAACATTGACGTAAATTACTGTCTACCAATTTTCGTTAGTAGCCAGCTCTCACGACACATAGACTCCGGCTTTTTTCTCCGAATGTTGTTCTCATATGGCCACGAATTAGTTCATAGCCTCTGCTAGTCAACCGGCTAAATCCTATTCCCTGTCTATACACATAACAGGGATGTTCTTCACAAAGGTGAAAGGTGTGAATCCTAATTTCAGACAGGTAGATACGCAGGTTTACTTAGGTGAGGAGAAGGTGGAGATTGAAAAACCTTGACTACATAAACCTATGGTGGTTGTACATGAGCTCCAGTATCCGAAAGGATTGAATAGTTTAGGAACGATGTTTTGGACACTGGAAACTGTGGGAGCGCATATATTGACGCTACTTTACAGGTTTGTAGATCAGATTTCAAGTCAGCGGCTGGTGGGGTTAACCCTTCTGGTCAACTATCTGCTTCGGTGTGAACGTCAGGGAAGTATCGTAGCTCTCTCTCTTCATCAGGAAAAAAACAGCATTCCTTTTGTTCAGTGTAGGAAATATTTCTTTTCATCAACTTCGTTTTCCAGCCATACAGTCGTACTTATATTACGGAAAAAAGGATTAATTAAGTGCCACTAGAAATCCCTCAGTCAATAGACATACGATAAGAATAGAAATAATAAAAATGATGTATTAAGGGGGTAGAGTTGAAGTAGATGATAGGCCAAAACCGAATTAAAAATTATTGTGAAACTATTAATGATAACATAAATAAGAGAGAATATATGGAGGCAACATCTGAGACCCTAGATAGGATTCTTAATAGAGCAGGAATCAGGATGGTGGCATTCAAACCCTCCTACAAACTCACTCAGTTGGGACAAGCTCTGTAGGCTAAAAGACCCAGTTGATTGACCCAATTAAACAAAATAATATAATTTACAAGACACCCTGAAATGACTGTGAGTGAGGTCAACTATATAGGTCAAACTAGTAGATCAGAGGTAGTCAGATTGTATGAACATAAGAATTCATCTAAAGTAAGAATGGTTGACCCTGAGAAGAAAAAAGCTCAGCAATTGCACTTCACTCATTCGCACACAATCACACAATAGGGTGGGTGGAAGAGGGTTAAGATTCTAAGAAGTAATCTATGTTGGTGGAGCGCGAGAGAAATTGATTACTGAATCCTGGTTCATAGAGTCAACCTACACCCAACACATGCAATAGAAATGACTCAATGCAAATACCAGAGATGTGTATGGAAGATATTATTACCACCAGTCAGTCAGTTAGATAATAAATAATCTCAAAATTCTATTTCAATTCAACCACCCACATCACAACATTCTAACAAGTTACTCACTTATTATGACTATTAAAACACTCGTCTTATTTCCCATCTAATTGTAATCGATCAATAACACTCATATTATTATCATCTCTGAATGTACATGATCTCATATTGATTTTTATTCAAACATCTAGTCAATTCCACACGTGTATACGAATGAAGAAAAAAAGTTGTGTCAGTAACTTGACATGTTTATGAGTGGCAATAATTTGTGCTCGAAACGTGGCCATCAGTTAATATTACTGTATAACACCACTGTATGTGATTTATCGAAATAAAGTCTTATCCATAATGGAGTTATACTCTACCACCACAGTGCTCAAGTTTTATACTTATATGAACTACAAAACTTTTAAAGATTATTAAACATAGTTAAGATTTTAAAACTGTAGGACAAGTGTTGTTGTCTAAATGAAAAAAATGAACATTACGATGATGAAAACATTAAAGACGGCGACGATGAAGTGAAGTGGATTGTGGAATGAATTCAAGTGGTAAGATAGAATGCAATAAGAGAACAAAGCAATGACCACCAAGGTAAAGAAAGCCGTTTTAACATAATTTAGGTTCTTGTCCATGTTATAACTAGATCTTCAACTGGCTATGCTATGCATAAGTGGAGAAAACGCAATCTCTTGGAGTGTTCGGATTTAGTCTTGTGAATAAATAACTTTGAAGGACAAACCATGTGTGAGAGGCTGAATGAACTGACTCGAACAAAGGTGTTCACAAATTTGAAGACTTCGTCATGCAATAAATAGCTCAACATTCATTAACCGAAACGGATAGTGTTCAGCTATATGCGTTTACAGAGAACACGCTTATAATGTCCAATGTAATCAGCTGTACACGAGCATGCGACTAAGTATAGACAGATAGAGGAGCAAACTAACGGAATTACTCGTCAGTTAATTCGATGCTGAGCTCTGAAGACACGTGCTGTCTAGAAGGAGGACTATAGAATCATTTTATTCGATATAAAAGATTCTAAATAAACCAGAAACTAATGTGATATTAAAACTTATTCACTCATTCACATACAAGTAAGCTTCGTAGGTAAGTCAGTGTGACGGTAATGTGATCCAACCGCACAAAACAATTTCGTCTACAAAATACCTTACAGTGATTGAAGGATAAACTATATAGACTATACGAACTAGTAGATCCCGGATTAATCAGCTAACCTGAACACAGGGAACTTAACTCAGATTAAGACGACTGGCGGGAAGAAGGTGAATGTTCTAACATACAATGGAATAGAATGGAGGGAGCTATACTTCTTATAGTTGATAATATAGTTTAGTGGAGCGAGATGTTGGTTACTGAATCTACTATGTTCATGGGATCTCCATGAGGGGAAACCGATATCAGAGTTGTGGAAATATTACTAACAGTATGAATGGAGGGTTTAGAAATAATCAAATTACATATATATAAAACACAAAATAATCGAGTAAAGACTATCCTTTTCGATAATTTCCTCCTCTTCTGGATCTACAATTATATATATGTATGTTCATATACACAGAATATTCTAGATTAGTATTAAATAACAATATTAGTTTTTTTAATTGGTATCATCACAGTTCATTAAAGATGCTCAAGTAATAATAATAATAATAAAGATATAATAGCAAATAGAATATCAACTAAAATTATGAAATTTCCACGAAAATTCAGGATCATTCAAACCTAGATGGCCAAACAAAGTAAGGATAATGTCTGAACTAACTTCTTTTGCATGCATAAATTAGGCTTGTTAATATGGATCCCAACAGCCAACCTCAGCAATATTTAGTAGTCGAACTCTTAAGGCAAAATTGAGATTCGTAGGTATGCGGTAAATGACCCTGAAAGCATGACTAACGTCAATCTTGTGTTCTGTATCCACAAGATGAGTGAGACAGAAGAGCGCTGAGAATAGATTTTGTCTGTCCTTTGCTTAACCAACCACTGTGCAGGGTGATGTTCGGAAATTCGACGAGAAACACGCCTAATTTTACGACCTATGCAAATAACTGACTCACTCCACAGGAGCAGTTATATTGGTAGATACGCCGTCTCTGGCGTAGACGAGATATTACACTATCCACCAAAGGCCGGGTGTACTGCTCATCAGTCCTCTCCGTCCTCCTTCATGGCCAGCTGTGAGACCTGGCCGTTGAGGGTGAGAGACATGAAAAGATTAACTGTCTTTGATCATAGGTGCCTGCATAATATATCCCGTGTGAAGTGGCATAATAAGGTGAGCAATATTGAGGTTAGGCGTCGCGTTCTAGGTAAACAGGGGAAATCAATCGAAAATTCGACAAGAAACACGCCTAATTGTACGACCTATGCAACTAACTGACTCACTCCACACGAGCAGTTATACTGGCAGATACACATGGGAGAGACGAAATTAGGCACTTTGTCTTTTACTCCCGAACGGAAACAAGGAGTGGTTTTGAAGTCACAGCGTAATTCGGCAGCAGGGAATGCTCTTCGCTTTACCGCATTTTTATGATTATACCTTGATTCCACACTGTATTTTTAGTACAAGTATGGAATTATAAGCATGTGATATCGGTAGCCTAAATTTTGCAGGCCAACCACATATATGAGGTGTGCGCCGGCAGGGGATCGAACCTTGGACCATGTGCATGGTTGGCGGGAGTCCTAACCACTGTGCCACCGAAGCATAGATACGCTTCTTGCTGACTGACTGGTGAGTGCCAACTAGCATGAGACCTAGGTCAGACGAGGCCTCCTGTGGCCGATTGCCTCCAACTATTATCTAATATCACTTGTCCAGTGTCTTTTTAGTAGTAATCATTCATAAAAACACACAACTACTTATGCATACACATAAAGATCCTATTTAAATTCATCAGAAAAAAACGTTTCTCCTGTCTAATTACATATAAAGAATAAGTCATGTAATAGTAATTGTTCCTCTTCATCGTCTCCAACGCTTAACACATTACACTGCTTGTATTCACTGAGGTGTCTAGGTGGAGAGTACAGCAGTTGTTGTTGTATATTGTGAATCTCTTCTTGTTTCTGTCGTTGGAGTTGTGGTGTACAATTTGAACTCAATAATATTTCTCTATAATATTGATGATTTTTCAAGTTTTCACTCGTATTATAATGATCCGATAAATGGCGATCACGATCGTTAATTAAACAAATGATTGATTCTAATTCTTTATGATCAATTTCATCTACATGATGATTAGAATTGGATGTCGTTGTCTGTTGATTTCTGTCTAATGCAGTGCTGTAGTTGGTGTTGTTTTTGTATGTTGAAGGTATTCCCGTCTTTTTCACTTGATTATAAGGATTATTCACAAATGAGGTAGACTGGTTTTGCAATGATAATTTGATATCTGTTGAAGAAAAATATAAGGAAGGAAGGAGAAAAATGCATGATTAGATAAGAATCAGATATTGGTAGGATAATGTGACAGGCAACGGCGGGAAACGAGGAAACAAGCATTAAATGGACACACACACACACACACAAAACTTGAAGGATCTGGACTTCGCCGATGTGATATATATGTCTGATTTCCCACAAACTCGAAGATATGCAAGTGAAAAGCAACAAGTTGGCGATAGAAGAATCATCCAAAGAAGATAGGACTTCAGGTGAACACAGAGAAAACAGAGGTAATGAAGATTCCCGGTGAACACCAACAGCAACAACAACAACAGACAACAACCAGCCAGCAAAAACGGGAGGAACCTGAAAGAAACAACCTCCTTTACCTATTCACCTGGGAAGCATCGTTTCAACTACGGGCGAACGGCACCGACGAGGATATCAAAGCAAGGATCGGGAAAGCAAGACAAGCTTTCAGTAATCTCAAATCTGTGTGGAGATCAACAGAACTCAGCATGAAAATGAGAATAAGATCCGGATTTTCAACTCTAATGTGAAGTCAGTGCTACTCACTGTACGGGTCAGAGCCTTGGTGCGTTATAAAGAGCATCTCAAACAAACTTCAGACCTTCATTAACAGTTGTCTTCACTCAATACCACTCGAGATCAGATGGCTGGCCAGAAAAAATCAGTAACTGGGATCCCTAGCAACGAGCAAACCAACACAGCGGGAACCGATTGTGAAACGAATAGGCAGGAAGAAATGGAGATGGATTGGCTGGTCATACTCTGAGGAAACCATCAAGTGACATCACTAGACAAGCCATCGCTCAAGTGGAACCCGTAAAGGAAGCGGCGAGTTGGTCGTTAGTGCAAGGGTGACTTGGAGGAGGTCATGTGAAGAGATGAAAGCATGTAGTTGGCAGACTTGGAGCGGGGTGAAAACGTTGGCAGAAAACCGTAGGGAATGGAGACGTGGGCGGCTGAAGTCCTATGTTCCTCTAGGAATTAAAGGAAAGAATAGTAAATATAATAATAACAAGATATTGTTAAATGTAAAAGATGAACTTTTAAAGGCAAAATTAAGATTCATATCGGAATACGATTATTATTATTATATTATTAATATCTCCTTTAGTTCCTAGAGGAATATAGGGCTTCAGCGGCCCACGTCTCCATTGTGTTCAGTTCTCCCTTGCCCAACGTTTTCACCTAGCTTCACGTCTACTCACATCCTTTCATCTCCTTTTCAAATAACCTCCTCTATATCACCGTCACACTGACGACCATTTGCCTTTCACTCGAGCGATGGCCTGGCGTGTGATGTCACTCACTTGATGGTTTGTTTTCTCAGAGTATGGCCTCCGATCCACCTCTATTTCTTCTTGCATATTTGTTGCATACTTGGTTCCTGATAGGTTGGTTGATTCATTTAAAATAAGCAATAAAGGTTAATAAAGCAGGATGATTTAATGAATTCATTAAATTTTAGTAGAACTCGTCAGCTGAATACTCTACGTACACGGATATATATATATATATATATATATACTTTTGAAATTAGATTGGGAGATATAAGACTGATAAGTAAACAAACTACATTGAATTAAACATGCAAAAGGACAGGTGCGAATGTTTTCTAGGTCATATTCCAATAGATAAGGGGAGAGAGAGTATGAGAGATCAAAATTAAGATAAATATCATTACGCTTCAATTACATCACTTAGATAAACAATTAGTCATTATACAATATATCAAGAATTGCAAACAGAGTAATATCAATAGTAATAGTTATAATAATAATAATAACAATAATAATGTTGAAGTGAGTTAAGATAATGCTACTGATAAAGGATAGTTTCAAATGAATCAAGAATAATAATAACAATAAGAGGTAGAATATAAAGTTAAACGTATTACCACGGTAGATTCAGAGTCACGATCATCTCTTTTTTACACAGACACCTGGTTTATAAACTCGAATTGCACAAGCTTCTGCAATTGCAATTGGTTCATTCATCGCCAGAGATCCTTGTTGTTGATCTTCCCTGGCCAACCATCTGATCTTGCGTAGTATTGAGCGAAGACACCTAGCTGCTGACGAAAATCTGTAGTTTATTCGAGATTGCCTTCGTGACGCGGAGTGGAGCCAAGTCTCTGATCCGTATAGTAAGTAGCACTGACTTTACATTGGAGTCGAAAATCCGGATCTTATTTTCACTTTCATACTAAGTGTGCTGTTGGTCTTCACACAGACTTGAGAGAAATGAAAGTTTGTCTTGCTTTCTCGATCCTCGCTGCTTTGATATCCTCGTCAGTTTCGTTCGCCTATAGTTGAATTGATGCTTCCTAGGTGGATAGGTAAAGGAGGTTGTTTCTTTCAGGTTCCTCCCATTTTTGCTGGCTGGTTGTTGTCTGTTGTTGTTGTTGCTGTTGGTGTTCACCAGGAATCTTCATTACCTCCGTTTTCTCTGTGTTCACCTGAAGTCCTATCTTCTTTGGATGATTCTTCTATCGCCAACTTGTTGCTTTTCACTTGCATATCTTCGAGTTTGTGGGAAATCAGACATATGTATCACATCGGCGAAGTCCAGATCCTCCGAGTTTTTGTGTGAGTCCATTTTATGCCTGTTTCCTCGTTTCCAGCCGTTGTCTGTCGCATTATCCAATCTACTGTAATCAGGAAGATCATTGACGATAGTAGACAGCCTTGCCTCACTCCCGTCTTTACTTCGAAGGATTCCGTAAGTTTCCACTTGCATATATATACATAGTTTAGTGAAGTTTTATGTATTTACCCATGAGACTTGAACGCAGTAATCATCGTTTCAAACGCTACAAGAGCTCCCACATCTTGTGTAATGGCTATTAGTCACTTCTGATTTCAATTTGACCTCCCCCATTGACTGATTGCACCGAAGTGTTCAGCCTGAAGTTGATTTGTCGCCTCCTTATAGCTGCTAGAGTCACCATCCACTAAACTGATTTAATCAAATGTCTAGGAAAGTCAACGTTTCGTAAAACTAGGTTAAATTTGAAAAGTAAGCATTCACAGTCTGTAAGTGTGTATGGAGATTTAATTATTACACACATGACTTAGTTGTATGGCTTACTGCGTGCGTGTATGTATGGGATACTAAAGCTATATACGTATGTATGTATGTATGCGTGTGTGTGTGTGTGCATGTTTCGTAATTTCGATAAAATTCTGGTGTTTAATTTTTTTGCAGTCAGATGATGCATACATACATACGCTACAGCTTGTACTCGATGAAAAAGCAAAGAGAAAATGACTGATCACATGAGTATAGACAAGTAATAATAATAATAATAGTAATAGTTTTTATGATTAGTCAAATCTAATTTAGTGACTGACTGACTGGTTTGAACATAGAACTACTTTGCACCGATGTGCAGCAGTTCGAGTCGCCACTCTCCCTCTATTGAACATACAAATCAAGAAAAGAAAGTAAAAAAAATGCAAAATAGAGACAGTGAACAGATATATGAGGCAGAAAGAACGATATAGTTTTATTAGATATTGTAAGTTACAAGGAGTGGATTCATCTGAGCCAGCCACTGACAGAGAGGACTTTGAGCCATATCACGGATAATTGTCTCCAGCCTACATTGGTTTTTACCATTCCGAGGACCCCAACCAGTCTACCTACACTTCGTGGATTTCATTGACTGATGAAGCCATATTTTGGTTTGACCATCACTAGCCAGCTCTTTTCCGAGAACCTGATCCATCCTATGCCGGCTAACACTGTCCGTTGTCGAGGAAGGCGATTGATGGCTAGGGTAGGGATGCATGCCTAACACATGTCCTAACGATCTCTCTCAATCGATGTGACTTCACAAACTTGCCGACTTATTTCTCCTCTCACCTACCTAGCACTCAACCGATGCTTAACCTCAATATTGCTTACCCTATTGTACTGTAATGACAGCTGGCAGCTAATCAAATTGGTAGACAGTAATTTACGTCAATATTTACGTCCCTAATATTGGTCATGAGAAAAATATGAACAAAGACTGTCTCAACAACCAATCACAGCAGACTTTGTTTGCGTAGGCGGATATAATTTGCAGATAGATAGTTTGAACTACAAGAAACGGCTACAAAGAGATGAAAGATTCACGTTCAGTGAGAAACCACCAATCAGAAGAGTGTCTTTGTTTGTTTACAATGACCTATAATAATATGCATGTAAGTCTATAAATCAGAGAGATTGAGCGAAGAAATATTCACTTTCAATTAGATCCTCATCTCACTGTGGCTCTACTCTAATATATTATGTATAGCATTTTCATTACAATACACAACAGTTTACCAATCAAGTGGCACTGATATTTTTGTTAACACTAATTAGTCAGTGTCAACATGTCAAGGCGGTGGTGACAATTAACGAAGAAATGGTTAGAATAAAATAATTTTACAAGGATAACACGTAAATTAAAGATGAAGTGGTCAGAAAAAAATAATAAAATAATTTTGACAATTATAATTTTTATAATTTTGAAGGTTTAGGGGGAGGGAGGTGAAGTAGTCCGGTTTATACATTCATGTAACAATGGCCAAGGCAAGGAAAGTGGCTGTACAAATTTCTTCTGAACACACACACACACAGGTTTGGCTTCTTCAGGTGGATTCCTATTACTTCAGCTGTCGTATGTAGAAGACGAACTCGCAGAGCGAAATTAAGATAAGTCGAAATGCGATAAATAATTTTAAATGCTGTATTAACATTAATCTTATGCTCAGTATCAACGAGGTGGGCTAAAATAGAGCTACGAATAGATCTTTTTTGTCGTTTACTTAACCACGTTGGATGATGTTCGGAAATACGATGATGAACCTGCCTAATTGTACGCCCAATGTAGCTGGTTCCGCAGTTGCAGTCAAACTGGTAGATACACATAGAGGAGGAGGCAAATTTAGGTGGTTAATCCTTATTTCTCGAACACAGAATAGGGGTGGGTGCGAAGAGACAACGTAC